CACGCCAGCCTAGGCTGTAGAGAGAGACTCCATCTCAAATAAAAAATAAAAAATAATAAATAAATAAATGAGTAAGGATGAAGATGATAGATGTCAGAAGTATTTAGAGAGAGGAAAAAATTCTTTTGTCTTTAGCAGTTCAATGATCTGTTCAAGAAAATGAAATAAAAATATTAGCTACTGGTAAGATCTTAAGAGGCAATCTATTTATCAACTTAAATAACTATCTTTGTGACATTGTTCAATGAAAAGTGAGGTGAAATAGCTATATAAAAAGTACTAAAGTGGCAGAATGAACTCTGTAAAATGTTAGTAAATGAAACAAGGCTATGATACAATCAGCTCACTAAAATGAAACATGAGACAGTGAGATTTTTGTATTGGCACATCTATTTGTATTAAGTTTGGAGAAGTAAAAAATATTCTCTAATTTTGTAGACCTCTTGTATTCTTTTTTACTTGAGTACCACGGAGCAGAAAGATCAAAAAAAAAAAAAAAAAAAAAAGAAGTGAATCACATATTTAGGCACTATTCGTTAAGAAAAATGTGCTATGTAATTAAATTATTATGAAAATAGCAAGCTGGATAGATGATAAAGGGCCTTTAGTCTGAACCAGATGAACTCAAGTTGCCCTTTAAAATGGACTTTCTGTCATAAATACTAGGATAGACCTGTTGAAAAAAATGTTGGCAGTATTTCTGGTTAATGTGGGAAGAAAAGCTATATTCGTTGACTGATTTATTTGAAATCAGATGGGGTCCATTAAAAAATATTTAATTTGTTCTCTTGAAACACTGAACCCAAAAGAAATGAACCTGAACTTAAACAGTAATCTTTGGGCAAAAATTGCACACAATTTTGATTGCTTTCCTAAGTGTCATGTAAACACCAAAACATTAAGAAAGAGCTTCTAATGATAGGAGGATTGATTTCAGATTCACTAAAACATCAGCCTTAATGTCTTGCTTCTACCTCTAATGCCAGATGTTTGTACCTAAGTAGGTACTTTAAAATGGTTAAAATAGCTCATTTTCTGAAGCAGATAAATATTCCATAACATTCTTGTTTATGTTATTTGTATATTTTTTGTAGCTTAAAGATAAACTTGTGAAGTCAAGTAATGCAAAGATACAAGTTCTGAGTCAGTGAAGTCTAAATTTAATGATACAAATAAATACAAATTTGTAGAAATTATTTCTATTTAAGTATTTTTATCATAAAAACATCACAGAGTTATTTTAAGAAGCAAACATTCATTGAATATGTCTTTTAAAAAATCCTATCTGGTAAGAAATTTAAAGTTAACTGTTTTAGTGACACATGGGGAATAAATATGAAATGATGGTGTTTTATTTACTCATAGGTGTTTTAAGTCTCTGGAAATGTACTTTTTTTTTTTCTTTAGCAGAATCTGATTTATATATGTTTTAGGAGCATTTATTCAACAAATATTTATTGAGAGTCTACCGTATGACTCAGTAATGATGTATCTTATTATTACTGTAATAAGATACTGTATTAGATGATGAGTGTGCACAAATGAAGCAAGCAGGACCCCATAAAGCAGTATGTGCCATTTTACGTACACTCGAGAAATCCTAGTTGTTGCTCTTGCTTAGTTGGGATCCCTGCAACTATTGGGGGAGCAGGTTTGAGGCAAACAGACTTGAATTGGGTGTTTTCTGTGTATTTTGTTGATTTAGTTCACTTTGGCAAATTACTATTTTAAGTAAAGTTGTTTTCCCAAGCATTAAAAAGTTGCTTTTTTTGTAGCCTGAATGGGTTCCAGGGAGACTCCACCTTGACCAGCTGTGCTGTGTGGTCCTCAGTCAATTCCCTTCCCTTTCCTGGGTCTGAGTTTGCTTCATCTTCCTTGTCAGCCAGCTGTGTGAGAGTCAGCGAGTCAGTGCCTGAACTTAGATGACTGTTGGGGCAGGTGGATAGACACAGTTTCTTTGTGAAAAAATGACCCCTTAACTGTCACTTGCTTATGCTGATGATTAGAGTGGAGAGATTTACACACACACAAAAAAAGGCATGCCTCTTAGGAGATAAAAAATTTAATAAATGACAGATCACTTGCTAATCTGGGATGATTTGGGTCTCAAAGATGAGTAAGTTTTCCACAGACACAAGAAAAAAGTATTTGTGAAACTTTTAATAGAAAGCATTTATCAATAAGAAAGAAACATAAGAGAAAGCTGAAAATGTTAGTTATGATGTTTGTGTATTTACCAAAAACATGCTAATCTTGACAAGTAGGATTCAGTGGAAACCAAATGTTGTACCAGTGTGTGTCTAGGAAGAAGCAGGTGGTAGAGGAGCTAATGAATGAACTTTTATTGGTGAATATTGGTGTAGACATTATTTTAAACAGTGTTTCTCTTCTTATGGATTGAGGAGACAAATGCATTTTCTTCTGTGTTCTGCACATGTGGAAGGGGAGGGGTTACTGCTAGACCAGAAGCTAAGAACCAAACCATGATTTTGCTATTGGAAGAAAATGTCTTTTATTCCCACATATACCACTAAGGAGGGAGACGCCAGCCTTGAGGATCAGGACAGACTCTTCATTTCTGGGCAATATAACACGCTTTACAGCTGAGCAGGGCATGTTTTTCATTCTGAAAGCCCTGCCCTAGGGCATTAATAGATATGAATAAATCTTTGTTTTTGTATGTTGGCAATCTGCAGAAGCTTGGATCACTGCAATTCTTTGGACCTTTTAGTATGCTTTAGTGGTGTTTGTGAACGGGGCAACATTTTACAGGGAAGATGAATGGGGTGTGTGGGGTGGTAGGCAGCACTCTCCCTGATTCTTTCTTTTCCAGTTCTCATTGCAGGTGTGGGAAGAGAGATATGGGGGTGCCTAGTGTCTCTGAAGAGCCCTCTACTCCTATCCTTGGAAGGAAAGAGCCTGGTTGGGTCCCCAGGAATGTTGACTGAGGGTCATCTGTTTAGACCTGAACTGGTGGTGTGCTGAAGGAGCAGGCAGGATCCTTGAACCTGGGCACTGTCCAAGACTGGGGTCTGGGAAGGACCCTCATCTGGGCCAGAGTCACAATTTATAATGGAAAAGGTGCTTTGGACTGTTATGTTGCTGAAGCATGTCACCCCAGGAACTTAGCACAGTGATAGAAACCCAGATATGAACTGGGATTTGGGTTTCAGCTCTGATCATTGCTCTTAGCAGGGTTGTGACTGTTGGCTGTTGACAGCTCTCTCTGCCTTCAGAGCCGGTATCTGGAAAGAGCTGTTCACATTCACTGTGTCCACTTCCTCACCTCACTTCTCTCCACAGCCCGTTGCAATCTGGCCTGCACTCCCACCGATCCATGGACACTGTACTTGATTGCTAAATCTCATGTGTGCCTTCACTCCTTAGTTGAGTTGACCTCTGTGCTGCAATTGGACACTCCCTTCTCAAAGCATGCTCTCCTCCTTTGGCTTCCAGGACATGACACTCTCCTGGATTTCCTCCCTGCCTAGGTTTTACCTTCTTTTCCCAGGGCTCTGTCCTTAGTTCTCTGCTTCCCGGTTTCCGCTTTTATGGCCTCATAGAAGTGGCAGCAAATGGTGGCTGAGAGCTTGGGCTTTGCTGCTGGGCTGCTTGGGTTCATACCTTGGCTTTACGTGCTGCTTTCCAGCTGTCACTTAATCTATCTCTGCGTTGATTTCCCTGTTTGTTAAAATATGTTACATGCTGGTGAATCATGTCCTGAGAGTTCAGTGAATGCTGAAGGCCGCCATAAGGTCAGTGCGCATGCCTCCTTCCACGGTGCTGCTCGGAACCAATGTCTTTATTTCAGCAACACCTGAACACAGCACTTGGTGCCTAAACACTTATTGAATGGATATTTTTTTCCTTCATAAAAATCCTGAGAGGTAGCTATATAACAATTCTTATTCTTCAAATGGTGAATGAGAGACCCCAGGTAGGTTAGTGACTGATAGAACCCCATAGGTAAAGAACTGAAACTCACTCATTGACTGCAGATCATTCAGTCCCCAGCACCCTTCACGGTCTCCTGTCCTCATCACTCCCTGAGAGCTGTGGGTCTTTAGCCAAGGGCTTGTGCAAGGAAGAAAGGCATGGGATTCAGAATTCACCACTTTTCACTCCTGAGACCTCAGGAGGTCACTCGAATGCCTAAGCCTTAGTTTTCCCTGTCTGTTAAGTAGAAATAATTATCTTTGCCCTGCCTGTCATTCATGATTATTGTAGAAACCAAATGACATAATATATTTGAGGGCACTTGTACCAAGATGGGGTATTTTAATCATCTTATAGTTGTCTTGTAATTTATAATTTAAGACGGCCTGAAGCAAGAGCTTTGCCATTTACCTAACCCCCCTCCACCTCCATAAGTGTTCAGTGGCTATTATTATCTGTTATTACATTTTAATATCAGACAATTACCAAATGCAAGTTATGTTTCCTTACTGAAAACCCTGACTGAACATGGCAAAATCTTCAAGTGGCAGAAATAAACAAAATTGTTGTGGACATTTTGCTGAAGGTCATGTCAGACTTCTGCTTAAAAAATCCCAGATCCTGTTTTTTTTTAAATCAGGTATCTCTTGAAGGTTAAGAGTACTGGAACTGTTGTGCCTACATGTATTTTAGAGTCAGGGTTACTCGTTGAGCTGACCTGTTACCTCTGTAGTTCGTTTTGAGAAAACATTGACATAGGGGAAACAGAAAGGTTAAATGACTTAGATTAGTATTTTTGGAGAGTAAATTGAAATTATAATAACTTCTATTTCTAGTGTGATTTGGGTTGGTGGACGTATTAACTTATTTGTGTCATCACTAGGTTTATTTCTTGACCATAACATTTTTTTCAAAAAGGAACTGAAAGCCCATCTTTTCTTTAACATCTAAATTCTTTACAATACAAGCTGTGGAAGTGTTTAATTTAGCAATACTGTTCTTTGGAAGTATGAAGTTAGGATGTAGCATACCTTAATTTTGTGCTCTTTGAATTTGTTTTGTAGGAAGTCTGCGGTCTTGCAGTTCTTCAGACTGCTTTAATAAAGTGATGCCACCAAGGAAAAAGAGAAGACCTGCCTCTGGAGATGATTTATCTGCCAAGAAAAGTAGACATGATAGGTATGATGTAGAGACAGTAGATCAGAATCAGTGATACATATGTCGAAGATGCACATTTCTACCTAATTTAGTATGGGTCTTCTAAGTGTGCAAATGTCAAGTGGAATATTGTTTTGGCTTTGCCAGTCAATTTTTCAAAATGTAATTATTTGATCACATTTATTTTGTGTTTTAGTTTAAAAACAAAAAAACAAATTCGGTAATTTGAATTCTTAGACGTTAAAGTTTTATCTTAATCCATTGATTGCCCAAAACTGGTGCAGAGTTGATTTCTTTCCTTTTAAAGCCTTACTGTCTGTACCTGCTGAGGACCACAGAATTGGTCTCTTGTTCTTTAAGCGGGTCTCACTCATTCACTTCAACCACAGAGCTGGAGAGATCTGCCTGTACTTAATGGTCTGTGCCTGCCCAGAATATCAGCCAAGCTGAGGTTTATTCTCACATGGATGAGAATTTGATAGAACTGTGAAAAACAAGACTCTTTAAATTGCTTCTCTTTCAGATAAGTGAACTTGCTAATTTTGATAACTCCAAGGGCATGTTAGATTCATTTATTTCAAACATCTTTATTGTTTCACCCTGAGTCTAGTAAGTAGTTTTTTCTTCCTTGTTTTAGAAACAATGAACGAACATCATTGTCTAGTCTTTTCTGCCTTTCTCCATCTTTCCCCATTCTGGCTTTGTGGGTCACATCACTAATGGACCTGAATTTCCACATCTGTTAATCCAGGGAATTTAAGTGGGATTTTTCTGTTTCTTTCGAGCTGTGATTCTTTGTATACTACAACTCAGAGGAATAAGAAAGACTCTGAAAATGTAAAAATAATGTCACTGTTTATATCTCAAATGAATAGAAAATATTATCTAAAAGAAGCTAGTAGTGATTTAGAAAATAATCACCAGCAATCTTTAGGCCAGTGATTTTTCAACTTTACAAAGGCAGGCTACTTTGATACTTTTTTGGTGGTATGGATGTTACTGTCAGAATTGTTAAATTCTGACAATCACACAACATTTTGTGACTTTATAGCGCTTAGTATTTTCTCACCATAGTCTAATAAAATATAGTATGATAAAGCCAGATTTGAAACTGGCAGTATAGTTGCAGTTTCTGAATTTCATTCTTGCCCTTTCTTTTATAAACAACTTTATTTTTATAAACAACTTTATTTACATACCGTAAAGTTCATCCATTTTAAGTGCACAGTTTAGTGATTTTTATTAAGTTAACTGAGTTGTGCACACCATCACTACAAACCAGTTATAGAACATTTCCATTATCCCAGTAAGATCCCTAATCCCCATTCAGTCACTCCCAGCCCTAGACAACCACTAATTTACTTTGTCTCGACAGATTTCCTTTTTATGGATATGGTCTTTGTGTCTCGCTTCTTTCACTAAGCAGGATGTTTTTGAGATTCTTGCTTGAAATAGCATATATCAGTATTTCATTCCTTTTATTTGCTGAATGATATTCCATTGTATACTCTTGGTTCTTTTTTATGTATTTTTCAATAATTAATATAGTGTCTCCAAGTTATTGACCAGTTACAGGCTTCAAGCTGAAATAGGAATGCCTGGGCCCAGAATTAGAACATATCTATTTGAACACTTGGCCGGTATCCACTTTTGTTTCCAGGTGGTATGGCTACCTTTTATAGAAGAAATACAGAACTGCTGGTTTGCAGTTTCAGTAACTTAACACCTTATTATAACTATGTTCTTTTTTTGGTGTTAAAACCCAGAAACTAATCAGAAGTATATACTGATAATCAGGTGAGTGTCTAGATCATGAATCAGTGTTGAATGAAAAAGAATTATACAGTTGACTGTTGCACAATACAAGTTTAAACTGCACGGGTCTACTTATGTGGATTTTTTTTCAGCCGAACAGAGATAGAAAATATACCATTGAGGGATGTGAAACCCCACCTGTATGGAGCACTAACTTTTGGTATACACAGGTCTTGCAGGGCTGACTGGGGGACTTGAGTATGTGCAGATTTGGGTATAGGTGGGGGTCCTGGAACCAGTCCCCTGCATAGACTGGGGAATTAACGAATATTATTTTCATATTCTTACATACTGTATAAATAAAAACTGTATTTATAAATGCTTATATACACAACTAGGTAATTTATAAATAAGGGATACAAAAATGTATATACTTACAATTTTTATATCCAGATCATCATTTTAAAGCTATTGCCTCCTTTTCCCTCTCCATGTAGGGAGTATCACCTTCCTACCTTCCTCAGCCCCTGGTTATTATGAGTATGTCATTTTTGTGGAAGGTCACACTTGCAACAGGAGGCTGCTGTGCTTCCTGATTCAGTTCTCCAGTTTATGCTGGGCTGTCCACAAGGCTAGAATCTGAAGAAAAAGGCAGAAGCTGGATTCTCTATTCTTCTGTCTCCTGAGGTTTCTAAGGTTATACTAATCAAGAAACCACCTAAGGGACGTTGTCTTTGTCAGCCTTACATCAAAGTTTATTTTTTTCCTGGAAGCTTGGACATGATTTGATGTTTCTTTTTATTTGCTTAGTGTTCTCTTGAGTTGTCTAATATTGAGAGATTCTTCCTTAGACTGTGTTCTGTGCCCAGCCTAACTTGTAAGACACAGAAGTCAGACATGAGTTGTAGGCTTATTAATTGCGGAAAACACCTTAGACATTTCTTGCCGTATCTCACCATTATTTTGTAGTTAGTTCTGGCTGGTGAGGTAGAAGGGAGTATATCAAATACCTGTTCTGCTCAGTTCTTACTGATTATTTCTTAATCAGAGAAAAACTGACATTAAGTGCTTACCACTTCTATATTAGGAGTGAATGTGTTTAAACACTGTAGTTAAAAGCTGAAGCCTGCAAATGCAGGAAATAAAATGTTTAAAGTATACTTAAAATACTGACTGAATAGATGTCTGGTTTGGGTAAAAGAATATAAATTATCTGCTACTTAAAAGAACTCAGTATCTTTAAATAACTTAAAACTGCTTTTTCAATTTCTAGCATGTATAGAAAATATGATTCAACTAGAATAAAGACTGAAGAAGAAGCCTTTTCAAGTAAAAGGTGCTTAGAATGGTTCTATGAATATGCAGGTAGGTAATCATTTGTATCATCTAAGACTGATCCTTATGACAATAAGGAGTACCTTAGAAGTAATTAAAGAATTTAAAAATGTGTACATTTCAAATTTGTGTGTGTATGTGTGTGTGTGTGTCCCTGTTAGAGGGAGAGAGGGACATAGCTTTAACAGATCACCAAATGGCCTATTTTTATAGCCAGCAGCTAAGCCAAATAATTCAGAACACTAGAAAAGAACTGAAAACATGAAATGACTTGGGAGAAGTACTTTGGATTGCTAGGAAAACTATTTAGAATGCTGATAATGGGTGATTATTGGTCAAAGCACCTGTGTTAAAATAAGCTTTGCTGCTTTGAACCCCTAGAGCAGTGAAATTTCTTTATATTAAGTGTTTCTATTTGGAAAGATCATTTGGCAGAAAACATTTGTTTTGTCACTTAAAATGTCTTAAATTTAGTCTTTCTTTTTACAACTTACTATAATTGGTTGGGTAATATAATGTTGCAACCTGGGGCTTATTTGTTATTGTGGCTTTGTGTGGTGTAAAAAAGAAAAAGAAAAAATTTTCAAACAAGCTCAAGCTGAAGACTCTTTCACCTTTCTTCTTTTTCACCTTACTTCAGGTTCTTTTATAACTTACCAACTGGCTATTCCAGCAACCTTCAGACCAATTTTCCTGTCATCAATCTCTTCTCCAGACAGCCTGCCATGTGCCACTGTTGTCTTATTTTTTTAAAACTAAGCTGAGCAGATCATACATGCATTCCTTAACAACCCCAACCGCTCCCCTCCAACCCCAACCCTATCTCCTGGCCAAAAAAATCCTTGCTATCTGCAGGATAAAAGACAGTGAACTCCCTGTGCTTTTGCCTGAAGTGATTTTCTCCACTTTTCTATCTGACATGCTCTATACATCTTTTAAACCCTTAATTAACTTAGTAGCCTTTTCTGTACTTCACAGGATAGTGTTTATAACTTTTTTTGGTTCCCTTTTATTGGTATCAAAATGAGGAATTCCCCCTGTAGCCTGATCTGGCTATTTTTCTCCTCTTCCCACCCAACCCTTTTTGTGATAAGAGCCTTGCCCCTGTTGTCCGCAGAGATTGGTCTAGGTGACTGGCACATAACCCAGGCCAGGACAGTCAGACAAATCTTCCCAGGGGTTTTCAGACTGAAGCTGGGAGGAGCATGTCTTTCTCTTCTGGTGGAGGACTTGAGAGGCTACAGTTCCGATTCCTGTAGTTCTTCTTTGGACTTTTGTGAGCTACCCCAACATCTTTCTAATGAATTCTCCGTCATTCCTTTAACAACTTTGATCTGGATTTTGTTCGCGAGGCATGGACACTAGTGCAAACACATAGATGGTTTTAGCATTTGTCTGTTTTCATGTTTACAGACAAATTAAACATGAATTTGTTTGATTCATTGAACCCGAATCTCTTGGAAACCTTTAGAATTTCTAGTAAAAGTGATTGACAGCTGGGTGCGGTGGCTCATGTCTGAAATCCCAGCACTTTGGGAGGCGAAGGCAAAAGGATTGCCTGAGTTCAGGAGTTCAAGACCAGCCTGGGCAACACGGTGAAACCCCGTCTCTACTAAAATACAAAAAAACTTGTTGGGCGTGATGACATGCACCTGTAATCCCTGCTACTCAGGAGGCTGAGGCAGGAGAATCACGTGAACCTGGGAGGCAGAGGTTGCAGTGAGCCGAGATTGTACCACTGCACTCCAACCTGGGTGACAGAGCAAGACTTTGTCTCCAAAAACCAAAAGTAATTTGACACTTTGCCAGGTATTCTGTAAATAGGTTCTGAATGAATGAAGAGCATTCTCATATTCTTATCACATTGATTATGAAGATCTCTTGCTTTCTTATATTGATTCACATTTATTGTTATGAAAATGTTTTATAAGAAGGAAATTTTAAACAAAGAAAAAGTACACTTAATCCCATCACCATAGCATAGTTATTCTGATCTTTTGGTGTACCTTCCTTTATAAGCAAACAGATTTTTTCATAATAGAAGCTAAGAAAATAGCAAGGGATGACTTTTCTTCTTGTTTGTCTTTCTCTGACTGCAGAAAGGTGACATTTTGGACATAAAGATTAAGCTACATTATTTAGGTTCCTTGAAATCCCTGCTAAGTCGTTCATTTTAACTCATCCCTTAGCCATCCCTTTCTTTTTCCCCCTTTTGCTATAGCTTGTCCATGGGGAAAATCTGGCATTGGGAATAACTGAAAGCCCCATTGACATATGTTTTCATTTTGTGTATTCTCAACCACATGAACTGAAACTGTAGGTCAGTATTAGTCAAGAAAAATGAATCGGGAGAAGAACCAGTGTGACTAACAGGTTGTGCTGTAGGATGAGTCTGTAGGAGCAGGCTGTGAGACCACAGGCCCCCTAGATACCAGCACAAAGAGGGCTTATAAGTGAACTTGAGCCATGTTCATTTTCCGTAGAAGAGAGCAGGCTGGTTTGGGCTGAGGATAAATGCTGACTCCTTGCCTTTTAATCTGGAGGACACTGGAGTGGAGGGGCAGCAGGGTCCTGGTGTGTGATTATTTCACATGGATGGACCTTCAGCTCTTTCCAGCATTCTCAGTTCCACTTTGTACCTTGCCCTCTGCTTTACATGGCTCCTGAGGCCTGAGCCCAGCTCCTCCAAGCTTATGTCTGGCCAGTTAACCCCAGTTGTCCACTGCATATTCTAGAATGCAGCTTCTCACTTTCTAAAATCTCCACCAGCTCAATTTCTGATCTCCAGAAATGTAATAAATAAACCGTCCTTCGCTGGGGGCTTTTCCTCCTGTTCTCTGATTGTAGGTTTACTCCCTTTTGCACTTTGGTACTTTAGCTCTCTGTGACTTTAGAAAGGATTAGCTGGGAGGTTCAGGGGAAGTGTTTTTTTAGACCTTGATCTGAACCTGGACTCCCATTTGTTTCATTAGAGCGAAGACAACCAGGCCGGGCATGGTGGCTCACGCCTGTAATCCTAACACTGGGAGGTCAAGGCGGGTGGATCATGAGGTCAGGAGATTGAGACTATCCTGGCTAACATGGCGAAATCCCGTCTCTGCTAAAATTACAAAAAATTAGCCGGGCATGGTGGCATGCGCCTGAGGTGCCAGCTATTCGGGAAGCTGAGGCAGGAAAATCACTTGAACCCAGGAGGCAGAGGTTGCAGTGAGCCAAAATTGCATCACTGCACTCCAGCCTGGGCAACAGAACGAGACTCTGTCTCAAAAAAAAAAAAAAAAGAATGAAGGCAACCAGTTTACATCATTTATCTAATAACTTCCACTTTTTGAAATGTATCTAAGAATAATGAATTAAACCAAATACACAGGTGCCAACATTGGTTTTACAGTTATACCAAAGCTCACATACATAGGTCATAATAGTTCTACAAGTTCTGACTGTAGGCCCTTAGTCTATTTTGGATTAAGTTCTATAGCAGAATTGTTTGGTTTACCAGAAATAAAGTCAGTCATGGACAGTTGTAACAAATAATAAACTGGTCTGATAGCGAAGGAAGAGATGTTAAAAACTACTCTAGAGACCATGTGGGCCCCATTTGCCTCCGTGATGTGGCATGCTGTAATTATGGGGCCATCATGAAAAGGTCAAATACCTTTAGTTAGGGGCCCCTGCTTAAGATGGCAGGGAAAGTGGAAGGACCACTTCTTTCTGGATTATTGTCAATATATCCGCCTTACCAGGTGTACCTCCAGTATCTTGTCACCTAGGGCATTTTATAGCTTATTATTTTAGATATAAGTTAAAAAAAAAACTCAAACTTCACTTCTAACCTACTTTGTGTTAGCCAGTGGCATATTTGTTAGCTTGCTTGACAGAGGTAATTACCTTAATTCTACAGGTAAATTTAGTGTAAAATGCAACTAGAATCCCAACAAATCATGTGATTACAACTAGATTTAAATGTGTGCATGGGAAAGATGAGAAGAAAGGTGTTAGGGCTGGGCGCAATTGGTCACGCCTGTAATTCCAACACTTTGGGAGGCTGAGGTAGGAGGATCGTTTGAGCTAAGGAGTTTGTGACCAGCCTGGGCAATATAGTGAGACCCCATCTCTTGAAAAAAGTGTTAAGATGGCAGGGTTATTGGTAGCATTTAAATAATGTTGATTGGCAAACTGTATTTTAACTATTTTGGATAAGATATTACTTTTGACAGTCATGCCATTGCAAATTATACTCTAAAATCTTGCTCTTCTAAAACACAGACATGTGTATATAAGTAGTACAACAACACTGTATAAAATTGGGAAAAAAGAAAAAGCATGAATAACTTACATAACCCCTGCAAAGTATACCTCAGCAGACTTTTGTTGAGGTCTGGGGTGCAGTCAGCAGAAGCACTCTGCTCAGAGTTCATTTTCCCATGTGGCAAACAGGCAAATAAAGTGAGAAACATTATCTTTATAGTGAACATTGACAGAAAGAGACGGCGGCAGCCAAGTTGGAGGATGCACGAGGGGGAGGGGAAGCCGGGTAACACCCAAGCCCTGTGCAGAGGCATGGCAAATGCAGGCGGCTTGCTAGGCTCAAGAATAAGTTGCACAGGCTGGGCACGGTGGCTCACACCTGTAATCCCAGCACTTTGGGAAGCCAAGGTGGCCGGATCACGAGGTCAGGAGATCGAGACCATTCTGGCTAATACGGTGAAACCCTGTCTCTACTACTAAAAAATACAAAAAATTAGCCGGACGTGGTGGTGAGCGCCTGTAGTCCCAGCTACTCGGGAGGCTGAGGCAGGAGAATGGCATGAACCCAGGAGGCAGAGCTTGCAGTGAGCCGAGATTGCGCCACTGCACTCCAGCCTTGGTGACCGAGCCAGACTCCGTCTCAAAAAAAAAAAAAAAAATTAAGTTGTACAGAAAGAGCTTTTTTAAATCAGGAAGAATAGAAACCAAAGAGATTTTTAAAAGAATTACAAAGTAACTTGCCCCCAGCTCTCTATGCAACTACTTCTCAATAAGCCATATCAGTAGATACCAAAAAGTATCTATTGCTAGAAACAACACAAAATAGGAATAGATTAATATTTCCTTATCAGAATAATTATTCTTTAATCTCACAGCCTAAATACTTTACAGTAGTAGAATGATGAAAAGAACTTTGATTCATATAAATAAATACACACATATACACTTACAATGGGATAACATAAAATGTATTAATATTAGCTAAGAAGAATGAAGTAGATATATGGGTCCTGTCACAGGAAGATTACCAGACACAGTCAGTGAAAAAGGCAAGGTGTAGAATTACAGGTACCTCACAAACCTATGTACAAATTTGAAAACTGCATTTTAGTATATATTTGCCCATATATAGCAAAAAGGTCCAGGAGGATACATGTCTATCTGGTAAAGAAAGGGAGAAGGCAACTTTCTTATTTAACTGTTTATTTTACTCTGTATCTTCTCTATTTGGATATTTTATCATGTGAATGAATTGATGTGTCGTGTGTCTAATACATACATGAATGTGCACATGTGGTTATATGCACTCTCAAACCAAAGAAAGCAGGCAATATATTGTATGATAAAATGCTAAATGTCCTATATGAGTCAAGAATGAGATAAGAATGTCCACTCTCACTACTCTTATTTGCCATTGTTTTGGAAGCTACTAGCCACTGCTGTTAGACAAGAGAAAGGAGGAGTGTAAATATTTGAAAGGAGGAGACAGAAATGATCATTGCAGATGAAATGATTAAATTACTTTACACTTGGAAGGCCAGAGAGAATGCCTGGGCAAACTTAGAAACACTAAATAAATATGTATACATTCCATGCCTATACAATTCTATGAGATGGCTTATTTTGGGAAGTGTTGTTAAAGAAGCTTTTTAATAAATAGTTGTCTCTGCAGAATAGGGAGGAGTTAGAGGGGGATAACTTCACTTTTGGAACATCTTTATTTTTTATTTTCAAATGAAACTGTTTATCATGTTTATGTATTAATGTACAAAACTAAAATATTACTTGGTTTTCTTCTGATAAGAAAACTAGGAATACAAAATATATATTTATATAAAAATTTATATTTTTATATTTATGTTTATACATTTATATAAAAAGGGGATAAAAGGGTACAAAATCCCAGAAAAAGTAACAGATTTGAATATATGAAGCAAAACATTGTGTAACAAAGTATAACATTTGTGATTAAAAGGAAAATAATGGCAAGGAGAGAAAAGTATTTGCTTTGGCCAGATTATGAGGAAGGGCCTGAGTTTGAACTTTAGGGAGAGCCAAGGATTTGAAGCAGAAAAATGACATAAGACTTCCCAGCAGGAGCTTCTTGTGACTTTAATGTTCCTCCTTTGTTAAGAACAGCCAGTCACCGTATACTTTGTGTTAGTGAAAGTCTTGTTACTTTGTATTGAAGTTACTCCTGGGCATTGTCTCCCTTCATGGAGGGCAGGGACCATTTGCACCCTAGGCAGCTACTGCAGTGCATAGCTCCAGAATGTGTCTAGTAAATGTTATGGTAATGAAATGGATACATTCTTTTATTTATTTTATTTTATTTTTTTTTTGAGACGGAGTCTCGCTCTGTCGCCCAGGCTGGAGTGCAGTGGCGCCATCTCGGCTCACCGCAAGCTCCGCCTCCTGGGTTCACGCCATTCTCCTGCCTCAGCCTCCCGAGTAGCTGGGACTACAGGCGCCCGCCACCTCGTCCGGCTAGTTTTTTTGTATTTTTTTAGTAGAGACGGGCGCGGTGGCTGAAGCCTGTAATCCCAGCACTTTGGGAGGCTGAGACGGGCGGATCACGAGGTCAGGAGATCGAGACCATCCTGGCTAACACGGTGAAATGGATACATTCTAAGATGGTGGATTCTGCTGGACTTGGTGACTTGCTAGATCTAGAGGGTATGGGAGGATTGTAGAGCGATTGCTATATATTCTGGTATTCAGCCATTCATTTATTCCTTCATTCAGTTTTTATTGGACCAACTACTATATACCAGATGGTATGCTGAACTTGTAAGAATAAAAGAACTGCTCTTGAGCTTAGAGGGAAAGACAGATGAGCTGGGACTTTGAATGCAGTGTGCTAAATGTGTGAGAACCATTCCTAGCATTGCGAGGGGTCACAGGACCGCCTGACCCAGCCTCTGCAGGTGGGGAGATTGAGAGGACTGCCCCTTTGCTCTCAGTCTTAAAGGTTGAATAAGTTAGCCAGGGGAGTTGGGGGAAGGGAGAGGAGGGGACAGGAAGGGGACTAGAGGAAGATAGGCAGAGACACAAAGAGTAATACCATGCTGGGTGTGTGTTCGGTGGTGGTGCAGAGTGAAGCCACATTTAAGTAGGTGTTTCTGGACCTTGATTTTTACTCATCCGGCAATATTTATTGATTCATTTATTTCTGAGAAACTTGTTTTACAGTTAGAAAGATATAAGACTGAGGAGGGAAGAAAGGCACTAGATCATAGAGAACCTTATGTGATAAGCCAAACACTTTGGATTTTATCTTTAGGCTCTAGGGAGCCATTGAAGGATTTTAAGCCAGCATGGGATTGCGTTTGAAGTGGATCCCTTCAGTGGCTGTTTGCAGGATGGGTCAAGGGGGAAAGACTCTGGAATTAGGAAATCATGAGGAGACTGCTGTAGTTGTCAAGAATAAAGCTTTGAAAGAGCATGGTGCAGGAGAGGCACAATTAAGAAATAATTAGAAGGTAAAATTGGTAGTACACTTGATAATTGATTGGGTGTGGGAGAAAGGAGGAATACAAGATGACTCCCAGGTTTCTATTTCTGGGTGTGCCACCAGCTGGGACAGCATACCAGAGGATAAGCAGGCCTGAGATGGAGAGACATTGGGCTCCATTTTAGTGAGGCAGTGTTTGAAAATGTGAAATTCAGGAGGAGTAGGTGTGAAGCAGAAGAAGAGTGTAGTTATGGCAGTTAAACAGGAGGTAGAGCAGCTAGTGAATAAAGTGGCAAGTAGTTCAAAAGTAAGGGGAAAATGTGGTCTAGAAAGACATTTGGGTAGGACCTGGGACCTTGAGTATGGTTGAAATTTCCTGAGAATAATGTATATAGCAAGCACTAGAAGAGGTTTAAGGATGAATCTTTGCACATCAAATTTAACCATCTGGGAGAAGCAGAAGAACCCATAAAGAAGCCAAAAGAAGAGAGGAAGGAGAACCAGATGAGAGAGGGTGCTTCCAGAAGCCATGGGAAGAGACAGTTTTGTGAAGAAAGAACTGCTTCAGATTTTCAGATATCACACAATGGTCAGTTAAAACAAAGACCGAATTTGTCTGTTAGATTCGACATTTAGGGGGTTATCAGAGACCTTGGCAAAAAGAATTTCAGTGGAGAGCTAGGAAAAGAAGAAACCAAATTCCAATGGCTGCAAAGTGAAACGGAGATAAATTAGAGATGGAATGTGTGGACGCTTCCTTCAGGAAGAATCAGGGCTAATGCTACAACGGAAAAAGGGGACCTTACTGACTTTATCAAGAACAGAGTGATAACTTGATTTTTTTCTATGTAAAAGAAACATTTATGTTTTTTCTTATTTAATTTTATAGAGACTATTATGTGGTTCTTTGCTGTGTTTCCAAAAATTATTTTATGTATTGAAATTATTACCCAAGTAAGAGTTGAAGATTAAGCTGTTTTAAAGAGGAGGAATTGAATTCAGCCTTAACTTTAGACAAATGGTATATACCATATTCCAACGATTGAAGGACATGGTGATAAGTTGATTTAAATGATTGTACAAAGTAGAGTCCTTCAAAGATACTGGAATTCCAGAATACTTTTCAACTTATACTTGATTTTTTTTTTCCAAAAGGAGTTAATGGCCTTTAAGTCTTACTTGTTGACAGTATATTACTACTACAGTGGTAATAGAGTAGTGTGAATGGTCAGATTTAATTTACATAAGATTGTATTTCACAGGAACTGATGATGTTGTAGGCCCTGAAGGCATGGAGAAATTTTGTGAAGACATTGGTGTTGAACCAGAAAACGTGAGTCTAACTTACTGAGTTGGGTGAATCCGTTGGTTATTTTTCTTACTTAAATCTTTGTTCTTTAGCAAATAAATAAATAAATAAATAAAAACTAATGGTATGTTAGTTTTTATGAAGCAATCTAAGAAATAAGTTCCAATTCTAGTTTGACTTATAAGCGCATTTTCCATTCTTGTAAGTGATATGGTGTAACTACAGTTATTTTTTCTCTCATTTAATTTCTTGTATGTAAAAGGTACAGTAAGCCAGATGCTTACAAAATGGTGTGGCCACATTTGCCTACAATGACGGATCAACTGGAGGCCACATTGTACACTGTGTACCTTCGTGCCCCTCAGTAGTTGTTTCAGCCTAATGTAGAGTCAATGTAGGACTTAAAATTATTCACCATGATTTTGAGTAGATTGTAATTATCAAGACTTTTTCACAGATCTTTTACTTCCAATTGAATTTAGTTCAGAAAGTGATTTTTTTTTTTTTTTTTTTTTTGAGACAGAGTCTCACACTGTCACCAGGCTGGAGTACAATGGTATGATCTCGGCTCACTGCAACCTCCGCCTCCCGGGTTCAAGCAATTCCTCTGCCTCAGCCTCCTGAGTAGCTGGGACGACAGGTGTATGCCACCACACTTGGTTAATTTTTTTTATATTTTAGTAGAGATGGGATTTCACCATATTGGCCAGATGGTCTCTATCTCCTGACCTTGTGATCCACCTGGCTCAGCCTCCCAAAGTGCTGGGATTACAGGTGTGAGCCACAGCACCCAGCCATGATTGCTTTTTATAATGTAAAAAGCCCTAGATATTTATTTTTAGAGTGATTTTTATAGGCTTAATTATTTTTGCCTAATTCTTAGCATGTTATTGTTGAATATTTTTTTTCTGTTCCCACATCACCTCTCTTATACTAAAATGAAAAACTATGCTTATACACATGCACTGCCTCATTAACTATGCAGTTTAATATTACATTAGCTCCAGTGTAACAAATATGTACAAGACCCTAAATGAATTTATGATCTGGAAGAGATCTCAAGAGATCATTCCCTTTATTCAGGCTGTTTCGAAGACATCTGCCCAGGCATGTATATCATGCTTTTAAAGAAACTAGCAAAATTCACATTTTTTTCTTTAAACTTTTTATTTTACCCTTACCATTTCTGTGCTTCTGTCATCTACCTCGGCCCCCAGCAATGCTTTAAATTTTCTAAAGAGCCTTTGGAATGTCTTTCACTTATTACGTAGATTTTTATCTTTTGTGTGTGTGTGTGTGTGTGTGTGTGTGTGTGTGTGTGTGTGTGTGTGTTTTTAATGTATTCCAGTTCAGGTATTTCAATAAATTACCCAACTTGGCATGAAGGTTTCGGGACACCTGGGTCAATAGTATTTTACCATAGACTGGGCCATAGGCACAAGAAAAGGCCATTACATTGAATTTAAGAAGGAAGTTTTCTATGAGAGCTGGGCCAAGCTTGGCAGAGTGTTTTCTAAACAGTGTAGTCAGAGGGCTGAGAGTGAGTTGGGCTTGAGAGGGGCTCTGGAGGTTCCACATAGGGTACCGTAATAAGTATATGACAGAGGAGTGGCAGCAGGGCCTGGGCTTGAAGTTAAAGGCTGAGAAGATTGGGAGACAAAGGGCTCGCTGGTATGTGAGGGATTAGCTGAGCATTTAGTCTCAGAGGCAGAAAAGCCTGTCAGGATGGGAGAGCACTGATGTTGATTCTAACTGAAAAAGAAAGGGAGGCCCAGCTCTTCAAGTTACTTCACCCCCAAATACCAGTACTCAATAAAAGATAGTTATTGTCATTCTTTTTTGGTAGTTATGAGTTCTTTAGAACTCTGTTTCTGGCCTGGCGTGGTGGCGCTCATGCCTGTAATCCCAGCACTTTGGGAGACCAAGGCAGGTGGATCACCTGAGATCAGGAGTTCGAGACTGGCCTGGCCAATAAGGCGAAACCCCATCTCTACTAAAAATACAAAAATTAGCTGGGTGTGGCTACTTGGGTGGCTGAGGCAGGAGAATCACTTGAACCCAGGAGGTGGAGGTTGCAGTGAGCAGAGCCAAGTTCATGCCACTGCACTACAGCCTGGGTGACAGAGCAGGACTCCGTCTCCAAGCAAACACAAAGAACTCCATTTCTGTAGGAATAGAAATAGCCTTAAAATTTAGAATCAAATTAAAGACTAAAAGGCCATATTATCCAAGTATGTAGGCCGGGCGTGGTGGCTCATGCCTGTAATCCCAGTACTTTCAGAGGCCAAGGTGGGTGGGTGGATCACGTGAGGTCAGGAGTTCAGACCAGCCTGGAGAACATGGTGAAACCCCATCTTTAATAAAATACCAAAATTAGCCGGGTGTGGTGACGTGTGCCAGTAATCCCAGCTACTCAGGAGGCTGAGGCACGAGAATCGCTTGAGTCCAGGAGGCGGATGTTGCAGTGAGCTGAGATTGTACCACTATACTCCATCCTGGGCAACAGAGTAAGACTCTGTCTCAAAAAAGAAAAAAAAAAGAATATTATCCAAATATTTACACTGTATGTACTTCAATTCCAAGCTGTCACCAATAGAAGTTATATTATTTTATATCACTAAGAAAGAAAAAGTGTTGCTAAATAAATTCTAACATGCTATATCAATTGTGGATGCATTCCCATTTCAGAGACATTAACGTTTGTAAAATAAGTGGTGAAATATGGTGTTTTCAAGCCTTGTCTGCATTGATAGGCAAGCACGTTTAAAGTATTTAAAACCCTCACCTTGCCTGATATTTGTAGCTTATGAAATTAAGCAGGCTTGTAAAATTCAAGTGTACGTTCATTTACCAAGATAACAGCAAAATTCTTTATTTAAGTACTTAGCTTTCTTGTTAGTTAACTTATGAAAGTCTTTTTTAGGAACTTGCCCATTATGAGTATCTGTTTTGGCTGCTTGGCCATGTTTCATTCATACTTGTGTGTGTGTGTTCTTGCACCTCACCATTTTTTTTTTTAACTTAACAAGTGTTTATGTAGAATTTTTAAATCTTTTTGGTAGAGAGTAGAATAGAGATGGTTTGAGAATACCTAGTTTGCATTAGAAAATATGAGCTGGTTAGTTGTCCTAGGTAAATTGATATGCAAGAGTCAGAATTCCTAGACATCTGAGGGATGAGGAAAAAATCCACTAATGTGTGAATAATTTGAAGAACTGTAACCCCATCGTTTTGGGAAATTCTTAGTAGCCCCTCGGTCTCTTAAGTCACCACTTTCTAACCTATTTAACAATCATGTTTTAGCCTTGTAAGCAATCATTACTAATCAGTCCTAGTGATTTACCTAGTAATCTAAATTTTTTAATCTAAAACAACCTAATGACTTTCAAAAATTCATATGTACTGATTTATTTGATGAAAGATCCTAAAAATTTCGTAGGTTCTCACTGATACTAATTTCCAGTGAGGAAAACCATAAAGCATCAAGAGAAAGCTTCTCCTTACTACTCTAGATGTAAATTAGACAGAGCTGGAGATTTTTTAGCCTACAACCTAGCTTATTGGCAGACAATTTAAGAAGAGCTTCTGAATCTCCTAACTACTCTTGTTCTAGAGTTTTTAATGGACATGTTGGCTCTCGGAGGCTCAGAAATCATTAAAAATGATTTCTTGCCTCATGTTTCATGTTTTTATATCATCCTAGTTCCTTTTACCACAGCCATCATCTGACCCAGTTGGGCACAGGGATGGTGTTTTAATGGTTTTGAATGATTCTTTCAGTAGCTGAAATGAAGCCTTAGGTTTAAAAGTAAAGAGATTGAATTAACTGCCAATGTGGGGTATCCTAGTCCTTGGAGAAACATATATCTCTACCCATTGCCTTTTTCTGTTTCAATACAGAGAGAGAGCCTGTTAACAGTGTGTACCTGATTCCCATTGTAGGACTTGGATGTTCCTTATATATGAATGACCGTCCAGAGATAACCAGTTCTACAGAGTGGCTGGCAGAATGGTCCTAAGAAGGCCCTGTCCCTCCTCTTTACCTTTTTAGGACTGACATTCTTTTTTAGTTACTTCTCACCTCTTCTAGCATCTTTGAGGTAGATGAAAAGGAAGGCTTCCTCCTCTTGTCCCAATCACACATGGCCTCAGCCCTGTCCCTATGTAGCATTCCAGATAGCTTAAAACTGGGTGCACCTTTGAAATGTCATTTTGTCTTTACACCTTCAGGTATTTATTAAAACTCACCATCAGTTCTCTGTGCTATCTTTTCTCTAAAATAGCTAAGTGAAACAGTAGCAAGCAGTGGCATAAACCAGAGTTGTCACCGTTTCTGAAACCTACATGGTTTCAGAAGAGTCACAAAAGCACAGGTGGCACCTGGGGGCCTGACCCTCCTTTACAAGTGATGGGACCATGCCACAGACCCTGGGCCCATTCCAGGCATAGTGCTGTCTTAAGTGGAATGTGGGACTACTTTAAAATAATTTCCAATCAGTGTATATAGTGAATTCACAAACATTAAAGTATATGTGCTACAACTCCACTGCGTGTCTCCTCCTGTCCACCTTGTTATGTTTTAATCCACTGTTCTACACCTTGCTGTTTCACTTAATACATCTTGGAGATTATTCCGTATTTGTCCAGCTAGTTCTACTTCGTTCATCTTAGTGGTGTCATAATATTCCTTTATATGGAATGTATTCAGCAAAGAAGTATTTAACCAGTCCCTTATTAATGGACATTTGGTTGTTTTCATTCTTTAACTGCTACAAATTGTACTGCAGTAAATACTGTTGACTATTCATCTTTGTGTCTGTTTACAGGTAGACCTATAAGATAACTTTCCATAGGTGGAATTGTCAATAACTGGTTTTACATTTGATACTGCCCTCTGGAGAGAGTGATCACCCTATACCTCCACTATTGTACATCAGGAGAATACATGCTTCTCCAAACTCTTGTCAGCAGACGATATTGTCAAATTTTTTGGATATTTGCCAAACTAGAACTCATTTTTGAAGTTAACTCTGCTCATATTTCAGTGACTGAACTACTGTAAACAGACGCATTTGGCAAAACGTTAATGTATTAATGACAGATCTGTTTGTTTATTCTTTTTTAATTTGTCTAATACATTTTTTTAATTGTGTATTTTTTTAACAGGTAGTTATGCTTGTCCTAGCTTGGAAATTGGATGCACAAAACATGGGTTATTTTACTCTGCAGGAGTGGTTGAAAGGAATGACTTCTCTCCAGTAAGTCCTAGGCTGCACTCATGGGGTCCCTGTCCTTCCCAGGTGGTTGCCTCTTCCTGGGACTTCAGGTTTCAGGTGATTGAGTGAGTGGAAGGAAGTCAGGTGGTCTGGCCAAGCTTCCTCAGTGGCCAAGGATGTAAAGACTAAGACCCATTTTGAGGACTATTCTGGGCGAATTTATAAACTGTCTATACGTGTATGTGGAGAGACAGAGTGTGTTGGTATTCTTGTAGAGCAGCTCTCTCCAAGAGAAATAGACCAACATTTTCTCATATGACAAAGCCACCTATGTAATTTAAGATTTTTTGATAGCCGCATGTAAAAGTAGAAACAGGTAAAATCAGTTTTAATCTATTTTATTAACCCCAAACAATCCAGCATATTTTCATTCCAACATATAATCAGTGTTTTTAAGAAGTCAATGAGATATTTTATGTTTTTTTTTCTCATGGTTAGTCTTCAAAATCTGGGGTGTATTTTATGGTCCATCTCCATTTGTATTAGCAACATTTCAAGTGCTCAGTAGTCACATGTGCCCAGTGGCTATTGAGTTGGACGGTGCAGTTTTAGAGATTAAAAGGCAAAGACTTACTGGCATCTGGTTTATAGTTAGTGAGAAAAAGTTGAGTAACATATAACTTGTAAGTTAAAATATTTGATATCTCTTTATATATTCTGATTTTAGCTTTGGGTAAAATTAAAACTTCATTACTCCAGTGATTTAAAAAATTAATAAAGATTTGGTTTGTGTAACCTGACCCAGGATAAGAAAAATCAGTGGTTTTATGTATTTGCCTTGTGCATACAGTATGTGCGTGTGTGCATGCGCCTGCGTGTTGTGTGTTTGCTCAGTTTCATTCAAGAAAACAAATTGTCATTCTATATTAGGCCTTGAAAGATGCAGTTAAAGTGGATGACTAAATGTTTCAAATAGCATTGAAGATGAAGTGCTAATTCTTAACATAGTAATTTTAATCTAAAGTAGTTGGGATGACTTATCTTTTTCTTTTCACTTTAAGAATAATAGGTCTTGATTTTTACTGGATTAGAATTGGAGTCGAAATGGTTTTATTTAAATAATTTTGGAATTTGTCCACTTTTAATGTCACTGTTCATTTGTTATTGTTAAGAATGCTTTCATATCGTGCTTTAGTAGTTTATGAAGACTTTTCACTGTTCTCACATTTGAATGCCTCATAGCTACTTTGTGAAGAAGACAGATCAGATTTTATCCTGAACATTTTACAAATGAGGAAACTGAGGCAAAGAGGTGATCGGTGATGTGTGAATGTGGCAGAGATGGGAAGAACACTTAAGGCTTCTCATTCTTAAATCATATTCTTCCTTCTAACAATATTATCTGATGACAAATGAGTTTTAGGTAAAAGCCAAACCACCCTTTTCACCCTTTTACAAATATACTTTCCTATCAGAGTGTGTTCTAGAATTTTAGAGTTAAATTCTCTGAAATGTTTTAAAACTTGTTTGTCCTTTTGGGGGAACAGCTCCTGATGATTTTAATCCTTTTCACTCTCTTTCATTATTTTTCTCACTTTTCTTCATTGCTTCCTTTTTCTTTTCTTTTCTTTTCTTTTTTTTTTCTTTTGAGACGGAATGTCCCTCTGTCACCCAGGCTGGAGTGCAGTGGCGTGCTCTTGGCTCACAGCAACCTCTGCCTCCTGGGTTCAAGTGATTCTTGTGCCCCAGCCTCCCGAGTAGCTGGGATTACAAGAGGGCACCACCACACCCGGCTGACTTTTGTATTTTTAGTAGAGATGGGGTTTCGCCATGTTGGCTAGGCTCGAATTCCTGACCTCAAGTGATCTGCCCACCTCAGCCTCCCAAACTGTTGGGATTACAGGCGTAAGTCACCGTGCCTGGCCATCATTGCTGAGTAGAGCAGCCGATGGCTCCATTTTAAAGTGTCCTTGTGATGATGAATGCATGGGCGTATCAGGATTTTATTTCCAGCCTTCAGACGAGGCACCATCAACATTTTCAGGCCCATTTTTATTTGTCTTAAGAAGGTGTGATACCCAGTTTGTATAGTACTAAGTTCTTTACAAAAGAATGTCCCTCTGCAAAAGAATATTACCTGATACCAGACCTTGCCCATGTGTTTTGAGGGCCATGTCTCCTGGGAAGTGAGAAGCAATTTCCTGGAAGAGGTCTGTGTCCGTGTTCTGAGTGCAGGGTACTCCTTCAGGCTGTTTGTTGGGAACCTTGCTTGCCACTTTGTATGATGCAGGTGGTGGCAGGTGGGTTCTCAGGGTGATTGCCACTTGATCCTCGCAATTTGGAGTTTAGTGACAAGCCTGATCCACTATAAAGACATGGAGGAACTGCTTGCTTTTTGTGATGTGAAACTCTGAGGTTGGTGTCCTCATCAATGAGGTGGAGATAATTATTCAGAATAACTTTTAAGTTTCTTTGTAGTTCAAAAATAGTCCAACTTCAAGTTTGAAGAACCTCTGCCTACCCTCCCACCCCTACTTTCCAGCCTTTCTAGATTAGTCATTTGTTCAGCAAATGTTTGAATGGCAGTGATATGCCAAGTATAGTATTCCAGACCCTAGGGAAACAAAAACCATGAGTAAGATAAAGTCCATTAAGAGGAGGGGCTTATAAACAATATTCAGGCAAAAGATCTAAAAGTAACACAGTCACTTATCTTTATGCCAGTAAAGTAACTAAATAAGCATTGTATTTGTGAGGTATGTGCACCTAGTACTCAAGAAAACCCAGAGAGTAATCATTTACATGCTCTAAAGGCAGAAAGTAATCTATCTTTTAAACTACTTTGTCTTCTGTTTTGGATTTCTTTTCTATTTTTGCTCATTTTGATTTTATTAAACCTATCTAATGAAATATTTTGATCTCAAACTGGAATTAACAAGTATAGAACAAAATCTTTATTTATATATATTCATGTCTTAGGCCATTTAGGCAGCTATAACAGAATGCTTTAGACTGGGTGGCTTATAAACAACAGAATTTTATTTCTCTGGAGGCCCAGAAGCTCAAGACCAAGATGCCATAGATTTGGTGTCTGGTGAGAGCCTGCTTTTTGGTTCAGAGATGGTGCTTTCTAACTGGATCCTCCCATGTTGGAAGGGGCAAACAAGCTCCCTTGGGTCTCTTAACTAATCTCATTCATGAAGTTTCTGCCCCCAGAACCTAATAATCTCACAAAGGCACCACTTTTTGATACCATCGTCTTGGGGGTGAGGATTTCAACCTACAAATTTAAGGAGGATGCATACGTTCAGACCATTCATTATATTTAGTTAAAATGCTGCAAAAAAGATTAAAAAAAAACATTACTGTATGGTGGGAGTGTGGTAGAAACAGAAAGCCCATGGGCTGTGAAACCAGAGTTTTCAATCATTTCTGTCATTTCCTGGGTGTCTCTGGTAGCATCATTAAACTAGGGTGTTGAAGTAAAGCTGTGGCTTATGCCTGGGCTCTCAAAAATTAATCTCCTTGATGCTCTCCAGAGGAATTGTGTGCTTGGCTTCCCTAGGGCCTGTGAACCTGGAACAGGAGGTGAATGGTGTGAGAGTTTGGTCTTAGGCTGGCAGCTGGTAGGGAACATCTATCCTTGCACTCCCGAGATCATTCCTCTGCCAGAGAAGACACAGCTCCTGTTTTGGTCTGATGAATTAAGCTAATTGTGGTGCTTAAACTTAAAAGAAAAAGTGAGAATTGTAACTACAATAAACTGATGATGGCCTGGAAAAATACCTTTGGGATGACTAAGTGAAGGGGCAGAGGCCTTTTCCTGGGTAATAGGGGAAAGCTACCTCTGATTTTATAAACTTTGAAGATTACTGTGTTGATTTCTGTCCTTACAAATCTGTTACAGCAGCAAACTCAAAAAGAAAACATTGTGTGCATTTTTTGTGTTGGGAAATGGTGTTCCTTAGAAGCGTGGCACTGTCACTGTGACTTCTACAAGTTTTTTTATACATGGTACATAGAAACATGTTGGAAGACTTGAGTTAAAGATGTGGCTGCTTTCTAAAGTCACGTTGGTGCCTTACATGTCCCAAGCCAGGCTCTGTTAGAACCGAGTCTGAAGATGTGCATATTTACTGGCCACTAGATGGCAGCCTGTGGTTCTGGACAGGGTGACTCAGTGGCTTGTTTCACTATTGGGGGCCAGTCCAGGGGCTTTGTGTGTTCAAGACCCCCTTTAAAGCAGATTAAACTCTGTATTGGCAATATTAGCTCCAACCCCAGGTTTTTAATGGGTATATGAGTTAGTAATATTACTTGTGTATTTTATGTGAAAAGCACAAGAACTGTTCATTTCCTGCATTTCAGACAGGATCTCTGAGCATCTTTCAAACATAGGGACATCTTTTTGCCAAGGTGTTGGACTTGCTCCCAGGCATGCTGCAGAACTTCACATTTCTTCTCATAGTAGCTCTGCCTGGAGATTTATAGCTAACTTTATTTTCTTTTAACTATGGGGTAGTTATCTAAATTAGTGCTTCCTGCTCTTGAATCTGTTAAAACAAACAACTGCTCCTCTTCTTCTTCTTCTTCTTCTTAGACAGGACTAAACTAAACTGCCAGCCAAATCTGTGGCTTTGGTCCTTGACCCTCTTTCCAGTGAAGAACAGGGACCTGGACTTTATGGTTTTGGGTTACCCAGTTTCCCTCCTCTGTGACCCTCCACCATTATTATTAATATTATATTATTATATGCACACCATTAAAAACACTAACCCTATAGTAGAAGCACCCAGTGTAAATTCAGCCCTGCCTTCCAGACTTAACTCCTGTTTACTGCTTTCTTGTGTATCTTTCTAGTCCCTGTGACCCCCTCATTGGGATTCTGGCGCTAGATCTCTAACTGGCTCTCCATATCTCTTTTCCTTCCCCCCAGTCCTTCTCCATGGAGGTCAAGAGTGAGCTTGTCCAGATGCAGCCCTGATCATGGTCTTTCTCATAGTGGCAGGTGCCCTCCTTTGTTCCTAGGATGTAATTTTAAAAACCCTCACTCTGGACTACAAAAGCCCTTTATGAGCCCGACCGCGTGTTCCTCTCAGCATCATCTTATACCTCTTTCCATCTTCGTCTATACCCTCCAGCCACAGTGGCTGTCTTTTAGTCTGTTGGACTTAAACCATACTCCCATCTGCTTCTAGGCCTTTGCATATGCTGTTCCTAATAGACAGAGAGCTTTTCCCACCTCTCCAAAATATCTAGTTCCTGCTTATCTCTCAACTCTTAGCTTATGTGTCATTCTCTTGAAGAAGTGTTTTCCGACTCTAAAATAACCCAATTTTAATCTTTTTTACTTTTCACATTAGGAAGAAATAAAGGACTTTCTAAATTGTTCTGTTTCATAGAAATTAAACATTTAGCCTAATTGCAGGCTCTTAGATAGTTTATCATCTCAACAAAGAGATCATAAGGATTTATTTGTAGTTAGGTACAAAGAAGCAGCAGATTTTAAAAACAGATTTGTTTTTAAAAATAGATTAGTGTGCTCTATTATGAACCATTTTAGTTTATACAGTATATAAAACATATTGATAATACTTGGTATATGTATTATCTGTACTTAGTAGGTTAAAGATCTATAATAGAGAAACACAATACATATTCAGCATTGAAAATCTTTAATATTGCTGGTGAAAATGGTGGCTCTTGATTCTCATTTTTAAGGGCTAGATATTGCAAACAGAAAATCAGTTTGTAAAAAGAGCCAGTAAGTCTGCTTGCTTATGAAAAGTAAACACTGTATCACTTACTGGTAAAAACAGATTATCACCACCAAGGCTCCCTGGAGAAATGGCTGATTTCAAGTCTGGAATAGGGTAAGAACAGGGTGAGCTGGAACATCTTGTTCCAGAAAGTAAGGTAATGCTCGGAGACTTGGCGGGGACATGTCAGAAGGAAACTAGAACCAGCTTTAGGGGGCTACTGCCCAAATGGGGAAAGTTTGTACGGTCAAAAAGAATAATGACAGTAACAGATTATAACACACTGAATTAAACGCAAAAAATCCTAAGTCCAGAAAATAAGAAGGTCATGTGTGGAGCTCTTCTTTATAGAAGAATTATAGCCAATAAATGTAAAAGGAATGATAGGATTAGAAAATCACCATCTTGGATCTTCAGATGTTACTGATTCAGGCAGGTATCACCAATGGATGCTATAAGCGTTGTGTGTTGTCCCGAGTATGTCCTCCTTGTGAGGTCTTTAAAGATCATTCCAGCATGGCCACAGAACTTCCACTGGGAGAGGCATAGGAGATTAAAGGATTTATTTTATTCTCAGGTTCTAGAGAGGGAAGCATGGCATGCCACACAGGGAGCTATATGGGAGAAGCTCCCAGGGAGTGGGCTCTGCTAAGCAGGTGGGGAACCTAGAGAGAGTGAGGACCCATGGGCAAGTTCCTTCCCTGGATGTCAGATTGGTGGGTGTGGATGTCACTCAGTCATAGTCAGGGGAGGGCAAGAAGGGGACCTTGTGGCAGGGGGCAGACTTATCACTAGTGGACCTGGTCTCCTGGATAGGATGTTCATTGCTTATTTGTGGGGATATTGAGACAGGAGGAAAATAGGAAGTTTAAGTGTAGTGTACAATACACATTGAGTGAAAGGTTGTTAGGACTGGACATTTATAGTCTCAAGGGATCATCCTGTAGATACTTACTATTTCAAAGAGGAAGAATTGCTTTTCAATGGAAAATGGTAGACACCACCGTAACAATAGGAATCCAGTAATGGGACAGGGATAGACAGACATGATGAATAATGTTGTTGTATCTAATATAATCATAGGGAAATTATGATTTCCCTATGATCATATATAGTGTTGGAAGTGTTGGATCTAATATAATCATAGGGAAATTATTTGACAGATGGACATTCTGCAAAAGCAAGTGGTCTGGTCTCCAAAAATGACATTGTCAAGAAAGAAAAAGGCAGGGCACTCTTCTAGAGACTAAGGAAATATGACAGCTAAAAGCAGTGCATGGTCCTTGATTGGTTCCTGGTTGAAAACAGCTATAAAAGAAATTGGGGAATAACTGGGAAATTTGCATGTGGATTGTATATCAGCTAAGAAAGTTAACATTGATACAGTAGTAAGACTGATGATGGTTTTGAAGTGTTTAGGGATGAAGTTTCATTGTGTTTGCAACTTTTAAATGGTATAGAAAATGTATACGTATATGAGAAAGAGTGCATAAATAGAAAAAAAGTTAATTGCTGGATCAAGGGGATAGTATATGAGTGGTTATTTACTATTCTTTCAACTTTTCTGTACATTTAAAAATTTTTTAAGTGTAGAGAGAATAGATTATGGATGAGTTTCAACTTCAGGGTATGTTCTTTCCTTTGGTATTGGGTTTATATTACTGCCTCAATTAAAAAAATTAATAAATGAACTCAGTTCATAATTTGCTTTTATTTTGTTTTTCTAGATGTGATACAACAGAAAAACTCAGAAATACTTTGGATTACTTAAGATCATTCTTAAATGATTCTACAAACTTTAAACTTATTTACAGATATGCGTTTGACTTTGCACGGGTGAGTTCTCTGGAGCCTATCCAGATGTTTCCCTCTTTTCCCTCCCCTTTTAAAATTGCCTTTTGAGGTTCGTTTTTACATGCCACAGCAAAAAATCTTGAATAAGTTACTCCCAGGATGCTAGTTAGCATTTCTTTCTACATGTATGCTTTTGAAAACGAAGTTTGATTCTGGGCAAACATTTTGTAAGTCAGCAAAAAGCTCTAGTGGCAGACGTTTACTGGCTCTTGCAATTGGTTTAGAAGTAACATGGGCATGCAACACACACTGTCTTAAATGTCTCTTAGATAAGCTTGGAAAAGCTTTCCTTCTCACAGAACAACAAACCTTCTCCTGTTGACTTTACTAGAATAAGCTAATCATATCTAATTCAGATTCACCCTGGGTGCTATTACTGTATTTAGAAATCATGTGAATTTTAGACCTAAGCTACTTTCAGTGAACATTACTCAAATGTATTTTTCTAATCATCGTTTTGAAAAGCAGTTACCCTGTTTCTCACGTAGTGAGTCAAGTCGAAGTATGTGAAAGTGGTTCCCTTGGAGTGAAATAAAAGTCTTACTTTTCAGCCTAGTCACCACACATAGTGAATTTTGAAGCACCAGCTGACATCATACTCAATTCAAACAAAATCTATATCCCATACAATTATAGTTTATTCTGAAATGATGTTTTCTGTTAAGTCTGTTTGTTTAGTGGATTCAGGTGACTAGGCTTTCTTGTTTGATTGCATTTTTTTAATGATTTTTTTTTTTTTTAAGGCAGAGAACTCAGTGACAAATGATTCTTTTTTCCTTGCCACCATATTGATTTTTTTCACTTTTTACTCTCTTTGGCTCTGCCAGTTCAGCACCAAAGGAGATAGTGAATTTTGATACATCTTGCAATAACGTTCTCTGTGGTGCCTTCATTCATGCGTTTTCCCATTATTACAACCTTCTAGTAAAATCACACCATGCATAGCAATGTATTGATGTTAAAAATGATGAGGTAAAATTCAGATACAGTGTATGATAAAATGGCATTTATATAATAGTATATAAAAGTTACATGCCAGGCCAGACATAGTGGCTCATACCTGTAACCCCAGCACTTTAGGAAGCTGAGGCAGGAAGATCACTTAAAGCCAGAAGTTTGAGACCAGACTGGGTAACATACTGAGACCCTGTCTCTATAAAAAATAAATTTAAAAATTAGCCAGATATGATGCCTGTAGTTCTGGCTACTCAGGAGGCTGAGGTGAGAGGATTGCTAAAGAACAGGAGTTCGAGGTTAAAAAAAGAAAAGGGAAGTTATTTGTCATATGCTTTTTTTGCTAAATGCTTTTAAAATAGTTAACTGGTTTCTAGGATTAAATAGTTTATTTCATGAGGTTTTTTTTTCCTCCCGAAGTCAGCTGTTTCTTATAGTATGGGCAGAAATTCATTTGGAAACATCATACCTTCTCTACTCAAATCACCTCTATTTTCTAACTTCCTTGATTGGGGGGTCACAGTTCTCCCAGATATTCAATGTGCTTTAGATCCAGGTTCTGCTTTACTCCTCCCTGACTTCCGTCCCATTCTGGGGCAGTCACCCTGGCCCATCTCATGAGTGCTCCTTTGGCCACCTTTTTCTTGGTGCCTCCACTGCAGCCTCACCGGTGGAGGCCGTGCTTCTCCTTACCAACACTCTTCTGGTAGCCTCATGTCCGCATTCTTTCACTTCTTACCCAGCGCTCACATCACTAGGGTGTCATTCCTCTTCCTTCAGCCCCTGGGTCACTCAGCCACCTTCCTGCTCCCCACAGCCTCTAGTACCTCCCCACTGTCTTTATATCGACCCAACACTTCCCTGTGTGTATGACACAGTTGTTCCCACGGCAGCTCTAAGGGACAGCCAGGGGTGGTTTCAGTCCACAGAGTAAGAAAGTGCGCTTCAGCAAAGGGGAGAAATGGCCACGTTGTTCATAGTAGATCCATGACTCAAACCGAGGCCTTCTGTCTCCAGGTCTAGTGTGTGGGTTACTCCAGACCCTCACAACTAAGTCCCAAGCTTCCCCATGCAATGCCTGCATTGTGATGAAATTGCATTAACGGTTGCTCACTGGCCCTGCTTCCTGGCATCTCTGCATTCTGCCTTTGGTCATGCTGGGCCCTTGCCTAGCACCCCATTTGCACTAGCATAGTTGTATCCATCCAGGCCCTGGGTCTGAGCCACGTGCTTCTGCTTCCACATAGCCTGCCCGTCAGCCTGTCAGGGATCATCCTGTCAGGGTGGTGCTGGTTTCAGTTACATACTCCTGGTGTCTCCTCTGCTTGACTTTGAAGTTTGAGTACAGAACTTAATTTTTCCTGGTAGATTGAGGGACTCTGTACTTTCTTTCTTTGTACGTCCTTTGTTTTAAAGGAGAGTCTCAATTAATATTGGTGGATTAAGCCCTTTCACATAACAATAAATAAAAACAACCATATTTAATCATTGCCTAATTACCAGATAGATTCAGTTTAGCTAAAATATGCTCTAAGATAAATTTTTTAATGGATCCTGTTCTTTTTTGCTTTGTTTTGTTGAGCTGTATTTTCACCAATTTTGAGATGTTGTATTTTCATTTTCATTCAGTTAAAAATATTTTCTAGTTCCCCTTGTTAATTCTTTTTTGGCCCATTGATTATTTAGAAGTATGTTATTTTCCAGGTATTTAGGATTTTCCAGATATTCTTTGTATTGTTGATATTCAGTTTAATTCTGTTGTGGTCAGAGAACATACCCTGTATAATTTTAATCTATTTGATTTATGGTCCAGAATATGGTCTGCTGCAGTGAATGTTTTATGCGTACTTTAGAAGAATGAAATGTTCTACTGTTGTCAGTGGAGTGTTCTATAAATGTCAATTAGGTCAAGTTGGTTGATAGTGTTGTTCAGGTCTTCTGTATTCTTCCTGATTTCTGTCTACTTGTTCTATCAACTACTGAGAGAGGAATGTTGAACTCTCCACCTGTATTTCTTCTGTCACCACTATCACTTTTTTGCTGCATGTTTTGAAGCGCTGATATTAGGTTTAGACATACTTAGTATTGTTATATCCTCTTGATGAATTGAGACTTTTTACCATTATGAAACGTCTCTCTTTATCTCTAGTAATATTCCTTATACTGAAGTCTACTTTGTCCAATACAAATGTGTTCACTCCAACTTTCTTTTGATTAAAGTCTGCATGCTATATCTTTTTTAAATCTTTTACTTTTAACCTGTTTGTTTCTTTACGTTTAAAGTGGGTTTCTTATAGATAGCATATGGTTGGGTCTGACAATATGTGTTTTAACTGGGATGCTGAAACTGTTACATTTAATGTAATTATTGGTATGGTCAAAATTTATATCTCCTATCTTGCTATTTTTTCTCTATGTATCCCACCTATTTTTTGTTCATTTTTTCCTCTTTTCATGCCTTCTTTTTAGATTAATTTTTTAAATCATTCCATTTTATTTTCACTATTGCCTTATTAACTTTTTTGTCCTAGTAGTTGCTCTGGGCGTTCCAGTATACATCTTTAAATTTCACAGCCTACCTTCATATAATATGCCACTTCATGTATAATGCAAGAATCTTTTACAACAGTATACTTTCATTTTGCCCTCTCATACCTCATGCTGTTTTTGTCATATATTTTATTTAGGCTGTAAATCTCACAATATGCTGCTATAACTTTTGCTTTAAGTTGGCAAAAATGTCTTTTATTGTTACTCAGATATACCAAATATATCATTTCTATGCTCTTCATTTCTTTTGTGTAGATCCAGATTTCTATCTGGTATCATTTTCCTTCTGCCTAAAAAACTTTCTTTAACATTTCTCATAGGATAGATCTGCTGGTGATGAATTCTGTAAGCTTTTATTTTGCCTTCAACTTAGAAAGAGACTTCTCTGGGTAAAAAATTCTAGATTGACACTTTATTCTTTCAGTACTGCAGTAATGTCTCTGCATTATCTTTCATCATGTGTAATTATAAATCTGGTGCCATTCTTATCTTTATTCCTCTAAACATGTCTTTTGTTTTCTGACTTTTTATTCTCTTTCCATTGCTTTTTAGCAAGTTTATTATAATACTCCCTGGAATAATTTTCTTTATGTTTATTTTGGTTAGGGATTGTTGAGCTTTTTGGATCTGTGGATTTATAGTTTTTATGAAGTTGGGAACTTTTTCTGCTGTTATTTCTCCAAATATTTTTTCTGTTCTCTCTCTGCTCTTCTGGGACTACAGTTATAACTATGTTTGGTTGCTTGAATGTGTCCCACTAGCTACTGATGCTGTGTTCCTTTTTATTTTTTCAGTTTTTTCCCTGTCTCATTTTTAATAATTTTTATTACTATGTCTTCCAGTATTAATCTTTTCTTTTGCAGTGTTTAATCTGTTAATCTCACCCAATATATTTTTCATTTCAGATACTATATTTTTCATCTTCAAAAGTTCCATTTGGGTCTTGTTTATGTCTCCAGTTTATCTCCCCATCATGATAATATTTTCTTCTGCTTCCTTGAACTTCTAGAACTTGTTATAGTAGGTATTTTTATAACCTTATCTTCTAGTTCCATCATCTGTCATTTCTGTGTGTCTTTCTGTTGGTTTATTTTTCTCTTGGTTATGTGAGTCACTTGCCCAGCTTCTTTGCATTGCTTGTTTTTTTTTTTTTTTTTAATTGGAGCTGGGTATTGTGAATTTTATGTATTTGGTTGCTGTGGGTTTTGTTGTATTCCTTTAGATAGTGTTGAGTTTGTTTTTTAAGTGCATAAATTACTTGGAATCAGCTTGACCCTTTGGAAGGGCTGGTCCAAAGCAGTCTTGATAGGGATGATTTGGCCCCACTACTAAGGCAATATTTTTTTTTGAGGATTCTCCCCAATGCCTTGTGTACTATGAGATCTTTCCATGCTGACTGGTGGGACTACAAACTGTCCCCAGTCCTGAAAAAACCCTGGGGACTTTGGCTCACTCATTTGCAATGTTTCTTTTCAGAC